AATTAAGACTTGCTTCTTCTTTCCACCTTTCCTGTATGCCCATTACTCCAACTGTTCCATCATCTTCTGTTAATCAATCTTCTTATTTGTGTTCCCATTCTTTTTTTCATTTTTTAGCTTTTTAACAGGATCAGAGAGCGATTCTAGTTTTGTTTGAACCTCTCACTGTAAATGTTTTGGTAGTACAGGGTTGGATTCTGTAATGAACTGAGTGAAAATTCTTGCTTTTGGCTCTCCTCTCTCCTTTTACTGAAAAGGTGGGAGGGAAAGAAAGACTTCTCCTGTGGAAGACCACCCTGCTGACTCCACCCTGTTTAAGATGGTGACAGTGATGGCACTCTTGTTGACTAGGGGTTTGTGGTGTCCTCAGTGTCACTGTTCTGTTGGTCCACTCTGAGACCAAAGGTCAACGTGGTGCTGGAAATGCTTTTGGCTACTGGTCCCTCTTATGCTGTGGTCATACTTAGGCCATTGCTGTTGCCCTTGGAGCTGGACTGGTGTTTTGCAGTTTCCCGGTATTCTAGGAAAACATGGGATTACAATAGAAAGGGAAGCAAGAATGCATTGCAGAGTGAATGACAGGAAACAATATTTAATGTTTCCGGTACTGTGCTAATTAGACTAACCAAGTGGAAAGTACTTGTTATTCTGAGAGTTCCCTGATAGAAATATGCAATCTTATTTTCATTTTTCAGAAAGTTTAAGGCATCTCTAATGTCATTCTTCATTCTCAAGCTCTTACCAGCTTGGATGTTTTGATGGGGCTTTGCAACACTGAATATATCTATTTAGATTCTGTCTGCTTTCAAATGCCAAATAATTCCTTCACCAGTGATTGTACTGGTGTTTGCCTTGCTGTTATTCCTTGCTTACAGCAACACTGGTAAGTTTAGGATTTATTATTTGTGGTGGCCTTGGACATATTGTTGATTTTAATGGCAAGGAAGTCACCACCATCCAAAACGAGGTGAACGTTTGAGTTCTGCCTGGATCTGCTCTTGGTTCTCTTTGTGCCATGGCTGCGAGCAGTGGTGGAGGGGTTGGACTGCTGTACTATAGGACCTTTCCAAACCAGCTCACACTTATTTTCTCACTAGTGTAATGTGTCCAGTGAGTGGTCTCTGTTTTGCAGTACACATCTGGATGAAGTCAATAGCATTTTTGACTTCCCATTTAGCTGTAGTCTGTGTACTTAGCTCTGTTTTTCTGATTTATTTTTTTTTTTTAAACCAATATGATTAGAAGAGTTGATTCTACTTCTCATTTTTGTCATTGCAGAGATTTTTCTTGTCTATTTGTCTGTTCTCTTTCAACCTTTCAGATGTCTACAGGGCTTAGCATTCCAGGAAAAACTGTCATCTTTACAGTTGTGATATGCAAAGCACGACAAATAAATAAAAGAATCTGCGTGCGTACGTTGCCTTATAAATGTTGAGTTTTAATTATGGGAAGTTAATGTCCCAGAAGGCATCCTAATTACTGGCTAGACCTTTCCTAACTTTTTACTCCCTTAAGATGAACAAAAGTGCCAGAGTTTACAGAGACAACAGATCTCTGCTGTGCTTCCTGATACGGTCAGTTTAAAACTCTTCAGCTCAAACATAAAGCCTTGGATCCCATGTGCTGAGAAACAGACTGGATGTCTGCCAAATATTTCTGAAAAACATCTTGGAAACAAAATGAACAGTTTCCTTGGAATTTAGCTGTTCAAGGTGATCATCTGCTGTGACCCACTCGAATGATGCTTGAACTCCAAGGCTGCTGTCATGGCTGAAAACACGCAATACCAGTGTCTGCTTATTTAATGGGCAGTTTGCATAACTAGTAAATGTAGCACAGCTCGTCACAGAAAACTCTTTTCTCCCCTCTGCCCACCATGACACAGTCTTAAATAATTATAGAAGCTGCTTAATAGGCTATAAGTATTACAAATAATTTCCAAAACTATATAACTGTCAGAAGAGAACACCTAGATTTATAAGAGTTCTTTGGTTTAGATATGAAATGACACTTGGACAATGTCCAGGATTTTCTGGACAGAAGATGAACCTCTCTGATTCTACTTTTATTTTCTTGCTCTCCTCTCTGAGGATGCTTTGCTGCAGAGCCGTGACTGGTATATGGTAGTTTTGGAATTCCCTGTTCACTTTACATTTGCAAATTAATGCATATTTAACACGAGTGACTAGGGCCTGGAAGTTTAGCTGATCTGCAAGCGTGCTTCAATAAAACTTGGAAATGCTTCGAGCTTTCCTCCTGTTCATGTTTGTACCTCTGAGAACAGACATGGCAATCAAGGGATCTCAACTACTTTGCACATCCCTGAGGAGGCTGCTGCTTTGTGTCTGCGTTGACAGATTCCATGTAAAATTTTAAGACTACCATAGGGAGGAGACTGGGACTCACAGCAAATTGTTACTGCGTAGGTACAGCTGATTCCCTGCCACCTTCCTTTCCTCTTCCTGCTCTTTGAGGAGAGTGCGTGCAAAGATTCAGTCTTCAGCATTCATCTGTTGAAGCCGTGATTCCAGCTCTCACATTTTGGGTTGCAAAATGACAATTATTACATAACGGGGATACTACCAGCTGACCTTTTGCTTTCACTGGGTCTCTGCTCAGCAATGGTTGTTGTTTGAGCCAGTATGTAGCGTAACTTTTATAATGTGGCTGTGATACAGCCAAAAAATCACTTTGTGTCCTCTCTCAGCCTTTGGTGAAATTGTTTCTGGCAACTTGCTCCTGCCTGAGAAGTCAAATGACATTGATTTCGCCACCACCCCCGTGCCTTTGTTTTGTAAGTGTGCTGAGTTACATGCCTGTAAAGACAGTATTTTTAACCTGAAGATGGCACAACTTGGATAGATTAATCCAAATGTCATTCGTGACTTGGTGAAGGAAGACGTGTTGCTGAGAGCAAGAGAAAAAGGAGACCTCAGGTATAGTCTGAAAGATTTTAACACTCTCCTTCTGTCTCTCTGCTTTTTGTATCACGCTGTCTGCGGTGCACAGAAGGATGTACAGCCTTGGAGCTTTTCAAGGTGAAAGGGAGTAATCACTTCAGATAACTTCAGCCACAGAGTCTGCCTGAAGTGTGGAACACAACCAGAGAGAAATAATAAGGTGTTTGTATTCCAATAATCAAACTAGAAGAATTCACTTTTAAATACTTTCACATGAACTTAAAAGTACCTGTTGACTTTTAAAATATATTATTGGGACCTACTGAGAGAAGGAAATAATGTCTCTGTTGAGATTTTGTGTATAATATTCTATATAGTAATTGGAAACTCTGGTGTCTACTGTTTATGGAAACTGTGTAGGCTTCCCGTAATGAGGACTTGCACATTTTTCACACCCTGAGTTTATCAAGTTTGTGTTGGAAGAAGCAGCATATGGTACATGTAACTCTCTGCAATGTTTGAATTTTTTTACATTAAATTGGCACTTGCCTTTCCTACCAGGAATAGCATCACAGGGTGCTATTTATTTAGATCTGGAAGATTCCTTGTAGTTTTGGAGTATCTGATATGGCATCAGAAGCTAATTCTGCTTATATCTTCTGTTGCTGATGAATATTGAAGAAATATTAGACCAGAGAGCCTTGAGTTCATCAGTTCAGATCTTGTTTGGATCAGTAATGATAAAACTACTGTGAAATGGCTGTTTGCTGCTTTGGAGCTTGAGTGAGACAACCAGGTGGGAAGGAGCTGCAATCCTGATACCACCCCGCTAACCTCAGAACACAAACCCTGATAAAGTATCCACACCACCACTTGTAATAGGTGGGGAGGAAGGACTGAATAGATATTAAAAGGAATTATTTTCCCTGTCCCACCCCTCTGTTACAGATAACAGAAGGCTTTTAATCTGATCTGAAGAAAATTGGCTGAGTAGCGTTTGTCGTGTAACCCGCGTACCCCAGCCCTCTTCTTTAGCTGGACAGCTCTTGCCTGTAAATCAGTTAATGATGACAGCAGTGCAAGTAATTATGACATCGGTTAATGATGTACACAGTTTATACACCTGTATGTACATTTGATTTCCATTTTGTTGGAGCAGTGCTGTCTTTTAAGTCTGCACAAATATTGACAGTCCCAAACTCTTGAGCTTGGTCTTCCTGAAAAAGGAAGATAGTACCTGGTTTAGACCAAGTATGGGTATATGAGCAAAATGGAGGAGGTTGCCTTCAAATATGGCTTTATATATCAATTTGCCCATCTCATTTGCATTACATTCATTCTTCTGTGATACTTCACAATCCTAATTACTGCCAGAAAAGAGGTGGCTGATGAGCAAAGACCCAAACAAAACACCGCAACAAAAAACGGGATCACCTTCATCTTGGTTCTTAAGGGAACACTGATACCCCTTCAAGGAAAATGCTGTGTGCCTAACAAACTTAATCAACAACAGTTTTATATTGACAACCTCGGACAGCAATGTGATTTCTGATCCTCTTGGTTTCTGCTTTGTCATGTGTCAAGATGAAATAGTTTAAATGGGTTTATGCACAATACCATTAAAATGGCTTTTTCCCACCTCTCCTGCCCCTCCTTGGGCACAGCTCATTGCCAAATGAAATACTCTGGTAACCACTTGCAGGGTGCTTTTTGTTCTTACCTTTACTTAATGTGTTATTATTTGGTGGTAGTTTGCAATAATTCATGCTCATTTATGTCCAAGGCTAAAACTCGGTAATGAGTGGAAATACTCACTGTTATTTCACTGCCTGTTGGCTGAGGTTTTTAGAGTTGTGTTCAGTAACTAGTGAGCAATGATCTTAGATTGGTTCATGACTTCAGTGCTAAGATTTCTTTTTTTAAGTCTCCTCCTTACTAACACTTGAAACAACTAAAACTTGGCCTGCATGTTTATCCTTCCCTGTTAGTCTTATGACTCCAGTAAAACAAAATTGAACTTTGCCTTTTGACAGTACAAGCTAATCAGTTTTGCATTTTTCAAGCTTCTCTCTAAATTTAGATTATTTTATTTTTTTGCAGGCTGCTATATGGCAAGCACTTAACCACTACGCCTACCGCGATGCAGTGTTCCTTGCAGAGCGATTATATGCAGAAGGTATGTACTTTGCAAATATCAAGTTGATGCTTCTTTCAATTTTGGTTTAGGATTTTTGAGCCTCTGGTCCTGCTTTGTTTTACTCTTGTTGTTGTGATAATGAAGTTTAACTTTCTGCTTGGGGAAAGTGGAAGAATGCCTCACAATTAGGTTGGAAAATCAAATCATGTAGCAGCAGCAATATTATTTTACAGTAAAACCTCCTTAAAATTAAATTTAGAGTTGTGTGTTTACGTATGATGTTTACAGTGACCTGTTGTGAGGTATCAAATGAGGGGGGGGGTTTAATAACCTTAAGCATTGCATGTCTTCCAAGGGCACTTGAGGACAGATGCAGTACACAAATTCTATAAATTGTCTTGGTATTGAAAGCTTTGTTCATAATCCCATTGAGAAATGTTGGCTGATGTGTTAGCTGAAAGAGGTAATCTTGTGAGACAATGAGAATCAGAACATATGGAATAGGTATATCCTGTTAAATTCTTGTTAATTGGTACTTCATTGTAATGCTGTCAGATCTAGGATGTCTTGGATACTGAGCAGGCAGCAGTAACACAAATCTGTACTCTTCCTGTGTCCTTCAAGAACCATTTTCTTCTTGTCTTCTAGTCCCTCTTCTTCCTTAACCTTTCTTCCCCGACCTCAGATAAGCCTTTTGTTATCTACTTTTTCTCAATACTAGTGTTCAGCTTTTCTTTTCATTTCTGAAAGATACTGTCCCCTAATCACTAAGATGAAAAAAGACCTCAACCCTTAAACTAAAATATAAGCATAATATATTAATTTCTCGTGCTAAACAGCTCGAGCTTACAACATGAATTAAATTGTGTAACCTGTTTCATGCTCCGTGTTTTCTAATGAAATGTTTTGCCAGACACACCCACAATGCACTTATTAACAGTGGAAGCACAAACCTAATTTTTGAGAAATATGGACCTTTTTTTCCCCTTCATGTCAAGGTTACCCGTGAAATCTGGGGTCTTCCATCTGGTGCTTAAATGAGAAGTGTTGTGTAGCTTATTATGGAATTTTATAATCTTGGTGTGCGTAAAGGAAATGGTGTTTTAGGGGTGAGGTACCTCCCCTGAACACAGCACATCGTGAGATGCAGGGAAATGCTGGATGGAAGGTAACTGCCGAAGGTGTAGAAACTGAGAGAATCCACTTTTTGCAGCAGCCAAGAGAAAAATATGACTCGATACTGAAACTATCTTTGCAGAATAATACTCTGCAAGAGTACTTCAAACAGCTTTTTTCAGTGACCAACAGTGCTGAGAGAGAACAGCATGCGTGCTGGCACTTGGTTCAAGCAATTAACTGCTAACAAAACATCTGGCTTCTGGTTAAAATAAGTAGTTTTACTGCAGAGTAGAAGCTACTGAACTTGAATACACTGACTCCATATTGGCAGTAGGGATTTTACTCTGAGAAGAACTTCTTTTAAGTCCACCTGCAATTACTGTCCTTGTGGGGACATCTGTGCCCTATTAGTTTCCCAGAACTCTGGAAGTGTGTTAAATTACTGGATAAAAGAATTGATTTAACTTTAATTTTCAAAAAGATCTTCTGGTGTTTTTTAACATGAGGCTAATAAAATGTCCTTCTTTCTTTGGGTCTTCAGTTTCCATTGTCACTGCCTAGGTGATGACACAAACTTAAAATAGGCAGTTTTCAGTGTAGCAGAGGATTTGAGCAGGTTGCCTAAAGAGGTTTTTGTTTTTCTGATTTATTGATTTTTTTTTTTTATTTTTTTATTTTTTTTTTTTTTCAGGGAAGTTCAATGTAGGTAGATGAACAAACATCAGAATTGTTTCTTTTAATGCTGAACTCTGTATGGTAGTGTGTTCTGAAAAGTATGAAGTAATGTGGATTTCTTAATTGAGATTTAAGTTGCTTGCCTTTATAGACAGCCTTTCTTGGAGTTAAAACACTTCACTACATAAGGGTGATTTGAATATAACATTTGGGGAAGTAAAAAGAACAGGGTAAGACACCATGGCTGTAAATAATCTGTGTTGTATCTGTGTATCTCCCTGTTTTTACTTAAAAAAACCCAAACAAACAAACAAAAACAACCTAGAAAACACAGTTAAAATGAAGTCATACAGTTATTTCACACAATTGTAGCTTAATGCTTGAACTAACACCATGGTAATGCTCACCGTTGCCTTACAAAAGTCCATTCTCTGGCGTTTAAAGTTCCAACTGATAATTCTACAATAAGGTTTTAAGTTTCTTCAGGGGTTGGCTCTTTTGGCCTTTATGCTGTAATCGCAAGTAAAATCAACAGGTCTGACCTCAGTCTTAAATCTGGATGCCAAGTCAAAGCTCTTCGAATAGAACATTCTCGGGTGGTACCTAATTCATCTCTGCAATGGAAGAAGTTTTGAAACAGGCATCAAATCTAAATACTTCCAGTTTCTGCCATAGAGAAATGTTTCTGTCTTGATTACTCTTGTTCTTTGTTTAGATAGAGGCGATTTTTCTTGAAGCTTGACTAATTTATTCAGAATTTAAGAAACCTGTGAGGACTCAGCTCAGGGAAAGGATTTGCAGGAGAGCTTGTCCCTATCACTACTTCCTAACATAAAATAAATAAAGCATCTGAATGGTAATTTCAGTCTTTCCAGTGAAATAATGAGTGTAGGCAGCAAAAAGGACAAGACCTAATGTTGGGGTAGAGATGACTTGTAATTAATCAACTTTAATAATCATTAAAACTGGAAAATCTGCTCTACTAAGTCATGTGAAGGTAGAGCATCAAGTGCTTTCAAAAAATAACAGAAGTAAAATTGCAAACAGGAAAAAAACCACCTGAAATTAGAATTAAGTGTTAATTAGGCTACTTAGGTTGAAACTGGTCTTTGTGCTGAAAATTCTTGTACTTCCTAACAGCTGTTGTTCTGCCAGTGTTTGTGCACTGCTTATGCTAGTGTAGAGTGTTACTAGCAGGTGTAATAATACTCTAAGTCAAGTCTTAGTGTGGCCAACGAGTTGTTAAAGTAGCTCTGTTCCGTTAGGAATGACTGCTTTGCTTGACTTGCTGTTATTTTAACAACAAGCTGCCTAATCACTTACTTAGATTGGGTGGCCAGAAGGATCAAAGTTCTTTTACAACAGTAGATGTTGAGATTGGTCTGACTATACAAGAAGACGGCCTGTGGAAGTTTGTTGTATGCTGACGAATAAAGAAATGCACCTCACTCAGTAATTAACTTCTTTATATCAATACTTGTTTTCTTGTACCTTGTTCCTAGCTGGCTTTTACTCCCTTCCCTCAAATTCCTTGTATCAAAATGGTAAACTGATGATTATTTATTATTATTATTTTTTAGTACATTCAGAAGAAGCACTGTTTTTACTGGCAACGTGTTACTACCGCTCAGGAAAGGCCTATAAAGCATACAGGCTCCTAAAGGGACACAGCTGTACTACCCCACAATGTAAATACCTGCTTGCAAAATGTTGTGTTGACCTCAGCAAGTAAGTAAATCCTTTAAGTTCTGTCCAGGGTTACAAATACTTTTTTTTTTTATTATTATTTATGTGTTTGTTTAGATTTCTCTTTGAAAGCTGTCATATTGCATAAACTACTAATTCCTTGGTCCTTCAGCTCTAAAGATTGTTATAAGTTCAATTCATTTTGCCTTCAGATTATGGACCTGAGGAACATTAGCCCACATTGCAGAAGCCTCTAGAAGGTATTGAATAACTTACAAAGGAGTTATCAAGCTGTGTACGGGGAGAAAACATTAATTGCTGAGATGACTTGAGGAGACTGCTCTGGGAAGTGTTTTAGTTTTGTGTTTCTCTGATACTTTGCTTGTTTCATTAAATGCTTCCAGTATGAATTTAATGGATAGGGCACTTCCCTCAGACAGTAAGCTTGCTCCTCTTTCTTTCCTCTTTCCTCCACCCAGTTACTGCTAACAGGTGGGTGGAGGAAAAGAAGTCAGATAGAAATCTGTTTTTAAAAACCCACAATAAACCTACCTTGAGTCCACATCCAAAAATGCTGTATTTGACATCAAAATTAACCTTGACAGGGACATAATGGTGTCAAGGTATCTTGGTGATTTTCTGGAATCTTAACAGCAAGAGCATACAATGAAATAGTCAACCTACAGGCCCTAATGCCCTGAGAATGTGTTAGTGAGGGTATTTCACTTCTATGTAGCTCTTTCAGCCCAAATGTAGGGAACAGTGTCTGAGGTGCAGAGTGGAGAGGATGAGGCGCCAAGAAAGGCAAAAAGTGCTGTTCAGAAATCTTTAAATATTGTGGCAGTTCTTTACAGAAGAGTTGGCTTTTTTGGTTTGGGTTTTTTGAGTGGCCCTCTTTCAATGACCATTAAAAAAGTTTAATTTCTTCAGCATAGGTAATGTGACATTTGGAGTTTCACAAAGTATGATGTGATTATTTTGCACGATTCGTGATCCGGCTGACAACATCTAACCAAAATACAGATCTCTCTAGGGGCAGCAGGGGAAGCTCCTTAGTCTTTGATACTCTTTAGTACGCGAGTCCTTTGACATCTGTGGAGTGGTGAAGATGTCTTGACTTGTTGTGTTTCTTTTGACACTCTTAACACTTCTGTTACTAGGTTAAGCACCTTTAGAAAAGAAGTGTCTAGAAGACTTTCTTGTCAGTCGCTTAGTATTGTACTTAGGCACTTCTGGAACAGTCACCTCGTATTATGTGTCTCTGGTTTTGGAGTGGTGTAGGGCTCTGGGTTTGTTTTATTTTTTCTTCTCCCCAGTAGAGATGTTTGGCTTCAGAGTGCTGCACACCTCCATGTTACTAGAGGAATCCATCATTTATTTAAAATTCATTTGCAGGAACTAGTTTGTATGTGGTTTGAAACTTGTGAACACTGACAGTAGATTTCTGTTTTTGTTTGCAGCAGGGTGAAAACACTGGACTACCAATACTGTGAGCCTTGTAACCCCTTTAAACCTCTTGTTTTTTAAAAAGGCTTGCAGAAGGAGAGCAGATCTTATCTGGTGGAGTGCTGAATAAACAGAAAAGCCATGATGACATTGTTATGGAGTTTGGTGACTCTGCATGCTTTACACTCTCCTTACTGGGACATGTCTACTGGTAATGTTGCTTTTTTACTTTATCTAATAAAGCTTGTGGGTTTGGTTTTTTGTTTGTTTTACTGAGCCCAATTTTAGTGAAGTTTAATTTTTTTTTAGTTACCACAGGCTATACCTGTCTCTGGGTTATGTTGCCTGCAGGATTTTGGAATATGATAGATGAGGGTATATAGTTGTGGAAGCCATTTAACTTGGGAGTGCAAGAATGGTTTGTCTCTCACCCAGAGCTTCTGAGTGACTGAAAACACAAATTCCCCTTTTCCAGGTTGTTAAGCATGTAATCCAAGAGTTGTTGGTTTGTTTTTTTTTTAATACCTTTGAGTTTGTTCTGTATTCTTCCCTAAGAGAAACTCTCAAGGCTTGTTTCTCAGTATTGCCATTTTGATTTTTTGTATCTGTTTTACAGATTTATAGCTATAACCCTCAAATGAAAGTTTTGAGGACTGCCAGTCAGAGTAACTTTACAAATTTAAGTGTCGCTTTTGCCTAGTTACAAGAAAGGTTTCAGTAAATGTGAACAGATTGAATAGGAATAGTGGGGTTCTTGGCTTCTTCCCTAGCATACCTGTTCTCAAAAAATGTATTTCAAAAGAAACATCTTTTTAATCAGATAGCCCTTAATTTATGTGCAAAAATATCATCCATAGATATTGAAAATGGCTGGAAGACTAGCAGCCAGGTTGTTGCTTGTGAAAACAAAAAAAGCTGTTGCAAAGAGCAACATCTTTCTAAAATAAAAATTCTCAAACTATACTAGTGCTTGTGTAACTTTGGGGTTTTTGAGGACTGTGTCTAAGTAACTTCTATGTCTAAATATGTCAAATAACTTCAAAATAACTCAATATTACTGTGTGGCTTGAAAAATGGGGAATGTTGCTGTGACTCTCAACATGTTTTTTGATTTTCAACTCCTCTTTTGGAAAGCTATCTTGAACAATAGTGCTGTTCCTAAATTTCTCTATAAACTGTTACATTCTTTTTTTTGCAGCAAGACAGACCGGCTTGCCAAAGGATCAGAATGTTACCAAAAGAGCCTTAGTTTAAATCCTTTCCTGTGGTCCCCTTTTGAATCACTATGTGAAATAGGTAAGTCTGCAGAACTGTTTTACTAGTGAGGATGGTTTCTATGTATCTGGTTATCTCAAGCTTTCTGGTTTGCCATCACCACGTGCCAAGGTTTATTATACTCCTTGTCCAGAACTAGTAAGGAAAATGGCAGCAGAATTCTTTGGGAGTGTTTTGTGAGCAATAATGCATTTTAAATGCTTTGCTTTTGTCTTCTTTTCTTCCATTTTCACTCCTTAGACATTATTGGATTTAACAATACTATATGTTTTCCAGCCTACAGTTAGTAGACCATTAGAAACTATGCTTCTGAGAATAACTTAAAAAAGAAAATTTATTTCTCTTAATAAAACTGATTGTCCAGGGTTTTGTAGTAGAAGAACACTTCTGATTTAGTGTAGGGGGTTTTTAAAACAGTGAAATAAGAACACACTCCTCCTAAAATACTTTGTGCGCTGTCCCCTTTGTTTCAGACTGAATATTCAGCAAAAGACTCAAAAATAACTCTATTTAAATCTCCTTCCAATCTTACAGGTGAAAAACCAGACCCTGACCAAACATTTAAGTTAACATCTTTACAGAACTTCAGCAGCTGTCTGCCTAACACTTGCACAACGTTGGTATCTAATCACAACATATCTCACAGACAGCCTGAAACTGTCCTTATGGAAACGCCGCAAGACACAATTGTGAGTTTTTTCTGAAATAATTGTGTTTAAAGTAGTCTTCTGAGGTTAACTGAAAAAAAATGCTAATTAGAAACTACACTGTGTGGGTATCTAACAGCTGCCTTCCATTTTTCAGGAGTTGAACAGAATCAACCTTGAATCCTCCAATTCAAAATATTCCTCCTTGAACACGGATTCTTCTATGTCTTACATTGACTCAGCTGTAATTTCACCAGATGCTGTCCCTCTTGGGTCAGGAACTGCCATATTGTCTAAACAGGCTCAAAATAAACCAAAAACTGGGCGGAGTTTACTGGGAGGACCTGCGGCTTTGAGCCCACTAACTCCAAGGTAAGTCCTTGAGACAGACAATTTCAGTCTACAGCTGTGCTGTTGATAATGCTTGTGATTTGAAACAGGAAAGATGTCTGGTGCTGCACAACATACTTGAACATACATGTTGATAGCATGTTATAAATAATGCTACAGAAGCAAAAGCTAAACAGCTTCAGTAACTCCTCTTGGTCCTAGTGTTCCTCTCTTCTGTTTTTCAAACAAGCAGTTGGCATTTTTTATTAGAAGAGAACTACTCTTGATTTGGTGTATTGCTTATTGCAATGTTCACACTGCAAAAAACCTTTAAAGGAATATGTTTCTGCTCTGGAATAAACTTTATTATGAAAAACTACTCTTAAGAACTTTACTTGAATAGCTCTTTTCTAAGGAGCATGTAAATATATGCTCTGTCCTATATGCCATCTTACTTAAACAGTGTTACATTACAAGCCATTAATACTTGGATAGTCTGCGTCTAGTAATTATTATGCAGGCAGGCAAAGAAAGTTCTGTATTTTCAATTTCAGTAATAAAAATAAATTTTAGTAAATATATATATTTTTTTTTAAATGATACTTCCTATTAAAGCATCTTTTATAGATGAGGATAGTAAGATATTAGAGGGTTAACATAAATCAATGAAGTAGTTCTGAAATAAAGTTGATCTGGGTCTCTATTTTAATCACAGAATCAGGCAAGCTCTCATGCTCTTAATGTTCAGATATTGACCCATCCTCTTTGTTTTGTTCTCAGCTTTGGAATTTTGCCACTAGAAACCCCAAGCCCTGGAGATGGATCTTATTTACAAAACTACACAAACTCCTCTTCTGTAATTGATGTGCCATCCACAGGAGCACCTTCAAAGAAGGTATTTTGCATTCTAGAGTGTGATTGCTATTCTAGGAATTTGACATTGCAGCGTACTTCAAAGAAGAATCCATAATGCAGATAAAAAAACACTGCACGTGAGCTGAATTGTGCTGACAGTGAGGAGAACCCAACTTACCACTGTTTACAAGATTAGTTTTGAAAAACCATTTGTCTGAGTGTGGAACTGATTGCAGCCTCCTTTAGTTGTGGAAATGGTTTGGTTTCATTAAATGGGAATTAAATTTATGTCTAATTTGTCTACAGAGTGCATTTAAAAAAAATCTGCTCTTACAATTATTTAATGCAGCAAAATCATTGTTCACCAGATCACGTATATTTACAGGCTACTGAGGCTGGGAGTTAGGAGAGCAGTTTAATTTGACGACAACTGGTCATGCCAAAACTTTTCAGACTTTTCTGAAGTGTTAGTTAAAACAAAATTCATTGTAGAATAGCCTGTTACCTTGAAACAGTTGTTTCAAAAGACTCAATAGATTTTTTTTGATTTATTTTGAAAATCTTTTCCCCTAAGCAAATGAGGCAGCAAGAAAAAAAAAATACCGTATCTCAAGTAAAGATGTCTGCATTGTAAATACTTTCAGCTTATTGTGTCACTTTCTTTGGCTAGCAAAATAGATTTTTGTTTTCTCAACTTTTATAATGATAAGCAGTAGTCTTTTAATGAAAACAATCCCTTTTTTCCCCCCACCTGAAATGCACCAGTGTGTGCAGACTGCCTAGCTGGCGTTTGCTAGAGACAACCCAAGGAAGGTGCTGTATCTTCTGTCCACCTGCCATCAGAGAGGAAGGTACAAACACTAATGCTCCTAAACAGTGAAGGATTCATAACTTTTCAGTGTGCAAGGTGGAGTCTGAAGACAGTCCAAACTTGTAGTTTTCACTTTAATTTTTTTTTTAAATAATGTATTTTTGGGGATGACTTCAGATAGTCCCAGAAGCTTCAACTGAGCTGAAACTACTGCTTGCTTGCAAGTAGTTCTTGAATTCTAGTTTACAGACCAGAGTAATGAAAATACTGCTGGTGGAGGGGTGACTGATAGAATGATGCTATTTCACTCAGCTGCGTCTTGTGTAGAGGAAAGTAAAAATTGTCTTTTTTACTCTGTGAGAAATTGCCATAGTTGCCATAGTGATAAATGAGAGGTGGAATGTTGATGACAGTTGAAGAACTATTTGTTCCGATCTAAAAACAAAAAACCTGAGGATTTTTCACTATATTTTTAGTAAATCTAGAAGTAGCATGAGGGATGCTTGTGTTTTGTAGGTGGCCAACTCTTTTAAAGTAAAGCTCAGTGCAAGTAGTAGTGTTGAATTCCCCAAAAAGTAGAACTTGAATTTCCAGATTTGATGCTCTGGACAAATCAGTTGGTGCTCAGCTTGCTGTGCCATTATGTAAGTGAAATCTGGGAGCTGTTAAAAACTGCATTTGTCTTCTCTCATTGGCCCAATAAGTAAAAGAAAAAAGCCCATCAGCAGATAACTTTCTTTCCCTTTGGATGGTCTTCTGAAGCCTGTGACTGGGAACAAGCCATTTTGGTGTCCTGTCTCTAGACATCTCGTCACTGCAAGACCTTCTATCACGTCTCTTAAACTTGCCTTTTTTTCTTTTTCTTTTTTCTTTCTCATTTGTTCTGTTGGGGCTGGACTGTGCTAAAAGAGTCTGCTAGAACTGTGCTTCGTATGGCTGATCCTTCCCATCCTGTAGTTGCTCAGGACCAACCTGTTTTCAATAGTACAGTTGAGAATACTGGCTTGTGGTGGATTGTACATACGTAGGAAGGTAAACTGTCCTGAGTCTGAAAAACTGAAATAGCAAAGTGCAGCTCTATGGTGTAGTGCTCATCTTCGTTTAATCTCACGTGTGTAGTACCTGATAGATAAAAAGCTTTGGGGAATCAAGTCATAGTTGGTGTTTTTTTGTTGCTTCCCTAGGTGTGGAGTAACAGCACCGAGGTGTAAATTTTGCTAATCTGTGCCTATGCTTTCTACTGCCTAACTACAAATATTTTAATAGGTTTTAAGAAATAGCTTAAAATTCTGATGTGTGCTTTGTCCAAGGCAAATAATGACTTGGCCAGTTTGACTTCTGCTCTTCAAATTCCCCAGTTAGAAAAGGTTTAGTGTAGCTGTGGCTAGAATGTGCATGACTTAACGGAGGCAGTTTCCTAGGAAACACTTACGTAAATGAATGAAACATTAGGATGGATCCAAAGGCTTTCTATCTGAGTGGGCAAGCATGCTTGCTGGCTGCCTAAACTGTTCTCTGATAACAAAGAAACTGAGAAGGGAAGGGAAGGACAAAACATTAGAAGTCAGATGATGCATAAACTGGTGTTGCTTGTGCTGTCTTTGATCCCACTTGCTGATTTCTGGTGTCTTAAAGAACATCTCTTCCAAACAGCCATCACAGAGTTGAATGTTGGTGTCCCTGGAGTGGACAGAAAGACAGGGTTTAAGCTTTCTTTAAAAAGCAAGGAGAGGAGAACCTGTTCTGAATCCTTTATAGGAAATCTACACGTCAGACAATGAATGTCTGTCTTAACTTAGGTCTCAGATTCACAGTCAAGTTATCACAGTTCTAAATTCCCACACTTAGCTGTGCCAGGATAGGCATCAAAGTGCATGTTTTAGCTCTCTTGAAGGTGCGTGAAGATAAAGACAATGTTTTGGTGCTAACTCATATTAATGCTTATAACTTGTGGCAATTAAAAGCTACAAAAGTGTGTGTGCACACAAAGCATTGCTCAGCTGACGTGCAGTAACTCGCTGCTCTGTGTTAACTTGACTGTAGGTCTCTTGTCTTTAAACTTTCTATGCTCCATAACGCAGCTCCCTTTTATGATGAAGTAGTTTATTTCTGTATCTGCTCCAGAGGATCATACAATAATGGTTTAATTAGTGAAATACTGATTTATGCTATGAACAGATATGCTAAAGAGGGGAGCAGCAGGCTCGGATGTTGCACAGTGTGCACCTCAGTGAGGTGATGTTAGTGGTGGTGGCTTCTGGATGTGATTTTAATATGATAATTCAATAATCTCTTTCTTGGCTTTTTTTTTGTATAACTTTCTGTGGAGAAGAAACTTTAAATATTATGTCTTTTAATTCCCTTTTACTCGTGCACAAACATCTTACAGTTTCTTGCCACTAGATGGAGTTTTTATATCTTTCAAATAATGTGCATAAAGTTGGTAAACTTGATGTTATTGGCATTTTAACAGGTGGAATGAGAAATACTTTTGATAAATGCTCCTTGAGGTGGGAGAAAACCCTCACCCTTTATTGAAAGAGTCTGTATTTATCCTTTGTGCAATGTTTGATAGATAGAATGGATTTGGTTTGGTATAGCAGAGACTGAGATTTCTTAGAGACATAATAACAAACCTGTAGAAACTTTGTGTTATGCAGACTGTCAGCAGGATAAGCCAAGCTGGAACAAAATCTGTCTTCTCACAGAGTGGAAATAGCCGGGAAGTCACTCCAATTCTTGTTGCACAAACACAGAGCTCTGGCCCACAGACAAGGTAGGGGGTGAAAAAAAAATAAAATAAAATAATCTTGCTATTACCTTTTGCACTTCCTTTCTTGAAGGAGTTTGACACTTTATTTGCCCAACCTGTGTGGATGTTCCTGCAAAAATCCTCTTTGGATGAGGAAGAAGTGTATTTTTTTTGTTAGGCAAAATAACTTCAGTGGATAAATAGGAAGCTTGTGCATCATGACTGGTCTGTTTCAGTCTCCTTTGCAGTTAGACCATTTCATCAATATATGAAAAAAGTAGCTGGAAGGACATGCAACAGATTAAATTTATTCTTTTCATCCCTTGAAATGGGAATATCTGTGCCATAGTGCTTGAATATTTTTTTTAAAAAAAGATAAAAGATATTTTTATTAAAAATAGTGAAGAACTTTAGTTTATAATGTGCCATTTGTTTTCAGTACAACACCTCAGGTACTGAGCCCAACAATTGCTGCTCCACCAAATGCACTGCCTCGAAGAAGCTCTCGCCTGTTTACTAGTGATAGCTCTACAACAAAGGTAACAGACTTCATGCATTTTACAAATTTACGGGTTCCTTACCTGTCCCACTGCACTGACTAATAATTTCTCCAATTGCATAGCAATTCTGGCAGCTTAAGAACAGGTTCTGTATGAGCAGAACTTATGAAATAGCTGGCTGTACAAAACACATCGTGATGCCATAATGTGTTATTTTTTAAGCTCTCAAGAGTGCTCAACTAAAATAGTAGGAAGAATAGTATGATGAATCATAGAATGGTTTGGGTTGGAAAGAACCTTAAAGGTCATCTAGTCCCAACCCCCCTGCCAGCAGCAGGGACACCTTCCACTAGACCAGGTTGCTCAAAGCCTCATCCAAGTTGACCTTGAACACTTCCAGGGAGGAGCAACCACAGCTTCTCTGGCCAACCTGGGACACTGTCTCACCACCCTCACAGTGAAGAATTTCTTCCTAATATCTCATCTAAACCTCCCCCCTTTCAGCTTAAACCCATTTCCCCTTGTTTTGTCATTAACTGCCCTTAGGAAAAGTCCTTCCCCAGCTTTCTTGTAGGCCCTTCAGGTATTGGAAGGCTGCTATAAGATCTCCCCGGAGATCTTATAGCAGCCAGTTATAGATGAACAGAAACAAAGAGTCATGCTGGGTTGACAAACGCAGTGGTGCTGCCAGCTGTCAGCCTGTTTGGTAGAGGTTGTGTCATTCAGATGTATTTATTAGATAATTCATTTTGAGCAGATTCTCTCTCTCTCTCTCTCTCTCTGTCTGTC